TTTCTTAATGCCACGATACAGCGTGTTCCGATAGAACTTGTTTTGCTTTGCACTTACTCTCACACAGAAAGTGCTGTTATTATTTGTGGAACGTGTCTTGGCATATTATTCAACAATCCCTTCTTAAAATTTTGGCCATGTTCTGTATCATCCATAAAGCTTCACATTGCCACAGTATGGTATATTCGTATACAACTTACGGCTTCTCCAGTCCCGTTTGTCACACCGGGTGTGCAATTAGTCTTTGTAAAATGTGTCTTGCGATATCTTTCAATGCTTCCTTTTAAAAATTTTGGTTATGTTTTATCCCATCCTTGAAATATCTCACTACGACAATACAGGATATTGTGATATCTCTTATACCTTCGCTTCTCTTACCAGGATGTGCAGTTCTTCTTTGTGAAATTCGTCTTGGAATATCTTTCAGTATCTCCTTTTAAAATTTGTAGTTGTATTTTATCCCATCCATGAAATATCTCAATACGGCAAAACAGAATATTGTGGTATCTCTTATAACTTCGCCTTTCTTAAACAGGGTGTGCAGTTCTTCTTTGTGAAATGTGTCCTGAAATATCTTTCAACGTCCTCATTTAAAATGTTGAAATGTATTCTACCCCGTCTATAAAGTTTCTTAGTGTCTCAATAGAGATATGTTAAGCAGTGCCGCAGCACAGAATGTTTCGATATCTCTCATAGCTTCACCATACTGCTTCTCTCACGCCGGGTGTGTCTTGAAATATCTTTCGACACCCCTCTTTAAAGTGTTCTGTCTTCTGGGATCTAAGGGTTGAAAGGTAAGCCGAGTGAGAAAACGGAATGAAGCAGGCAGTAGGCTCTGCTTCTTGGATGAACTGAACTCGTGCATAAGTATGAACATGTTGTCAAATCCTACGATTGAAGTTACATTTCACAAGGTCTACACCCGGGGAGAAATAAGATGCAAGGCAAAATTATATAAGATATAACGTTGCTTGCTGCCTGCTTCATGGTGGTTTGTTGCTTGACGTAGTGTTGAACCCTGAAAATAGAAGCAACATATTGCTCCAAAATATCGGTTGGTTTCCACAGGGCTACACGGCAATATGCCCCAAAAGGCAAACAAAGAAAAAAATAAACCGTGGTTTTAGTCCGCAAGCGAACTATACCGACCGAGCAACCGCCGCTTGTCGGCGAAGTTTAGTGCCAAGTTTTGCGGATAGAGGGTGTCGCGTGGTCAGCGCAACGAATCCCCACGGCCGTTAATTTGTGTTTTCTAGACCGGAGCCGCTATTTCCTTGAAATAGCTACTCAATTATCATTACGAGGCTGAGTGTACCCCGTTCCAGACACACTACTTCTCACAAAAAATCGAATCCGGACCTCTGGATCTGTAGCCAGGAACTCTGACCACTAGACCACAGAGACTGTCAGCAAACAGCACTGATTTCATGGTGGCCAGCTCCTGACTTAGTTGCTGTGCTAGCTCAGGCATTTTGGCTCCTAATTCCACCTTAAGAGCAATTCACGGCACTACCTTTTCTGGTCTTGATTCATCCGGTGTTTCAGAATTTTGGTGACAGAAACCTCTCCCTCTCTCAAGAATTAACGCCATTCGTTTCTTTTGAATAACTCTCTGAAGCGCATTCCTTGAAAAAGTAACAATGACTCAGCCGATAAAGAAAGTCCTTACTTTTTATGGAAAACAAATTTTATTACCTACCCAGAAGAAGAAACATTGTATTAAATTCTTACTGACTTACTTACTCATGGAGCTGAGCCCTTATTGAGGAGCCGCCAATTCTACAGCTACTCAACAATTTCCCAGCATTTTATGGAACCCGAAGGTTCATTACCGTGTTCACTGGTCCCTATCCTAAGCCAGATCAATCCAATCCACTCCATACTATCTCTTTAAGATCCATTTAATATTGTCCACCCACCTGCGCCTTGGTCCAGGAGGTTCTCCAACCTCCTGTCACCTCATCTCTCTTCGGTCCAAATATTCTCCTCAACACCTTGTTCTCAAACACCCTCAGTCTATGTTCCTCCCTTAATGCCAGAGACCAAGTTTCACACTCATACAGAACCACAGGTAAAATTATAATTTTGTATATTCTTATTTTTATGTTTTTGGACAACAGACGAGAATACAAAAGGTTCTGGACTGAATGGTAGCAAGCATTACCCGAGTTCAGTCGCCTCTTAATTTCCTCCTGAATCAGGTTTCGATCTGTTATCGTTGTTCCCAAATATCTGAATTGTGCCACACACGGCCAACTTCACACCCTGCTTTCTTTATCCCTGGGGAAGGAGCCCCTGGTACGCATTGGATACGAGGCTGGGTGGGCTCCATAGCCAGTCTTGGGTGCTGTGAAGAAGAAAAGCAATATTTTGGCCCTGTCGGGAATCGAACCCCGGCCATCCAGTCCGGATCTTATCGTTACACCGACTCGCATTTTGGTAGATGGTTACTAAAATTTGTCGGAAAACTTCTGCTTCCATCTTCAGGGTGCGGAACTACAGGGCATTACAACCCAGAAGGCCTCAAACTTAAAGATTTGTAAGGCGCAGGAACGTGACCACCAGCAGAATGAATGAGGAAGCTGTCCTGTCCATATGAAGGCACAGTTCCTGCTGACTGAGAAAAACCATGAAACGAGATGTCAGGACAGCTGGCACCTCGTCTAACCGGATTCCTCCCGACGTCGCGTTCTTGCACCCTCTTAAATCTTCTCCGATAATCGTGGGGTGGCTGCAAGCATCTGGCGCGTTACTCGCCCCAGTGGCGCAAGCAATTTGAATTCTGGTGGCGTCAGCTCCCCGTTTCTTGCCAGTAGAACTACAGCGGGCCTAATCGGAACTCTAAGCTGTGTTATCGCCCGCGGTATTTAATTTGTCGTTTCCACCCCACCCCGCACCACCCCCTCCGAAGTTCTTCCAGCCGTCGGTGCCGTATTCATTATTTTCCAATTTCCTCTCCTCTTCTCTTGAGTTGGATCACTTTGGGGTCAATCATATTGTTCCATAAAAGACTGCTTTGAAGAAATCGTAAGCATATTCCTCTTTAGTAGAAGCCTGGATAGCTAGCGTAGTCGGTATAGCGACTGGCTAAGGGCTGGATGGCCGAGGGGTCGGAGTTCTAGTCCCTGTAGGGTCAAGAATTTTCACTTCTCCAATCGTCCAGACCCGCTCTGGGGCCCACCCATCTTCCTATCAAATGGGTACCGGGGGCTCTTTCCCCGGGTGTTAAGCGGCAGGGGCGTGAAGCTGACCACACATTCATTCATCAATGACTCTACAGGGTTTTGTTGGGCGCTGGCCTCTCCTTCAGTTCTTTATTCTCTTTTTTTCACAGATGATAGGACGCCTTGGAGGAGTGATCAGACCGTAGCAAGGCCGCTACCTACACACACACAACACAAACAGAATAAACGCACACACAGACGTCCATGCTTTGAGTGGTATTCGAACCCACAAACCCAGCGTTTGTGAGAGACAGTTCACGCCTTAAACCACGCGACATCATTATGAAGTTATTCAGCAGACTGCGGTAACCGAGCTCTTTATATACTGGCGAGCTCGTCGGACAGAGTTGCCTACTCAGGATATGATGTGCGTATTCTCAGGAATGTTTCAGACAATGATGGTCATTATCGGCTCTTCTGTTCACTCTAGCGCTTTCTTATACCCGAAACTCCCCGCTCCAGAGTTCTGTTGTGGGCGAGACAAGTTTCTCCCGTTTTCTTCCTCGAATTGGCCTGTTTCCTCAAGTTCTGCAGTGCCGTATCTCGTTTCGTACGGGAAATATTTAGCATTTCAGCTGTTTCACTCCCTGGGGAAAAGGCTCTTGGTATACACTGGATAATGCTGGAGAGGCAACCGGGAATCGAACTCAGTCGTCCAACATATAGGCCAAGTTCACCCGACAAGGTATTTTACGAAATTAGCATTTTTCTCTAAAGATTTCTGATGAAGTTACTCCAATTCTATTCTGTTCGCCTGTTAAATAAACCGCATCATACTTAATTCGAAAATTATGGCATTGTTAAAGGGATAACAATGACCCAATTAAGTGTAGAAATGTTACATTTTGCAAACACGCAGGTCACTAAAAATGTCTGCGAATTGTGTTTGTAATCAACATTCCAAAATGGAAGAAAAAAAAACAATGACAGTTTTACATTAATCCGAGATACCCCGATCACACACGGAAAACACGGCTAGCTTTACGGTTGCATGCGCGTATCGTGTTTACCGGTCCGTTACCTAGCAACGCTCGGCAATCCACGTTACAATATACATATACATACCCAGGCTACATAGATGTAAACTACTGTATTAACTAAATTTTGAGCTCAGGAAATGAAAGACGAGGCAGAATAAGAATGAAAAAAAAAAATTGTGAGAAAGAAAGCAAGCAAGAGAAGCTGGCCGCGCCATAGCTCAAGCGGTTAGTCGCTGGCTTCCCACCGCGGCGTCCCGAGTTCAAACCCGGGTCTGGTCAAGTGGGATTTGTGGTGAACAAAGTGGCGCTGGCGTAGGTTTTCTCCGAGTACTTCGGTTTCTCATGCCAATCTTCATTCCACCAATTGCTCCATCATCGTAATCACCCGGGGCAGGCTACAATAGGCCAATCAGTGGCCGCCGTGCCGATTGGACCCAACTGGACTCCACCCCGCACTATGCGAAGCAAGAGAACCGTGATGATAAGAAAGATAAAAGGCCAGTACGGAGGAGAATGAGGAAGAGAAGAAGAACAGAGATGAGAAAGAATAAGAAGACTCGTTGTCTAGTGCCCTTGGTGACAAAGAACATGTGAAACGCAAACACATGCAGCGGTGTACATATCCCTTCGGGCATTGCAATCACTGGTCCCAATAACCTATGCAGGCGCCTTTTGTGCTCGTGTTTTAATGTCATCCCACGGCTGCCTCAGCTTCGTGTCACTTCGGATCGCACCGATCTTTGCCGAGGTCCAGAGTCCGTAGCGCGTGCCTTATCCCATTCAGTCGCAAGCGAGTCTCTGCAGTTGTTCGATGTGTAGTGTCATCTAGGACAGCAAGTGCCAACCAGTATGCGAGCGTGTTGTGTTAATTGTGATCTGGTCAAATGCGGAAACAAAGGATAATAACAGAAAATCTGACGGTACTTACTACAGCGTGTGTTTGATATTAGTGCTGTGTTATCTATCGATGTGCTTCAAGAAAGCGTTTTGAAACTTGTTTATGTGTGTCTCATCGGCGTCAACTGAATAGTAAGCAGTCATGTTTCCATTCTCTCCTGTATAAAAGTCATTGTTTATGATTTGTTAAAACCATAGTGGTCAAGCATTTGTACGGTAGAATATTTGAAGTTAAAGAGCTAGCAGCATTTTGGTTTATCGTAAATGTGTCATTTAGGCCGGGGCTCATAGTGATCCGTGCTGTTGTGGTAGCAAGTACTGGCCCGGTACAGGCACATAGCATGTAGGTGCAAGTGATCACGAAACAGGTAAGTGGTCAGCAGTTCATCTGATGACTAATAGTAACAATACTTTGCAGGACTTTTTTTTAACTTAGTAGGATATATTTATTTGTTCAGACACTTTAATGGGCACATACAGCTCTGTTTAAATTAGTAAACGTTTACAAATCCGAGTACGTATTTATAATTTCAAGGTTCATCGATTGAAAAGCCGTGGGCTTAAAAAAGCGTGGTTTCGAAACATGACTGAAATTTCGTACTAGTTTAGAAGCAAGGCAGCATGTAAAGACGCCACATCAACTGCTCGCGTTGTATCGTAACCGAGAGGCGACGACACAATGAATATGATTGGTAATGGAGAGGAAGCGGTCATGGACTGTTTTAGGATGATGCGTTGGAATTTTTCTCGAGGAACTTTGAGCTGGTGCCCTTCCAACGGGAGTGTGTGGCATTCGGCAAGAACTCCAGTGCATATTGACGTTGCATCCATATTTCAGTGATGACACATTTTGAATGATTAGGAAGGCACCCCCTTTCCCTTGAATTTTAGTGATGACTTGGAAAGAAGTGTTTTTTCAGACGAAAGGAAAAATTCTGCCCAAGAATGTTATACTTTTCTGTGTAGTAGGCTTATATTTTGGATTTCTGTTCGATTTAGAAAATACCGCTGCTAGCCAACGTGTGGATGTAGTGTTTGTTGACTAGCAACGAGGATGTTTATGGTAGTAACGCACCGATTTTCCAGTCGACACAGCTGTGGATTTTTGCGGTATGATACGGCCCAGTTGACGGAAACAAAGTGTCCCGTTATTCAGGAAAAATCCGCTCTCGCATCGGTATTCCCCTGAAGACACCGAAGAAATGTACACATATGTAGCAACTGCTGGTTATAGATTAGATTTGAACTGTATACCATCAGGATACATTCGGCGAGCGAGATATTCAGTAATTTGTGTATGGAATTTTTACTGCTACATAAATTCTATCATTGACATTTCGCTTGAAAGGTTAGAGCTTAACTGAATTCTACGGAGCCGTAAAATTCTTCAGTAAACAGCGCAAGTGCGTTGCGTGAACCTCAGAAGAGAAGTTTTGTAAGAAATGCATGTCGTTCACTGGGACATCGCCCAAGGCGGTTAGTTCCGCGCCCTAGTTTCGGGACGTTAGTGTAATTCAGTGGAAGTGGTGAAGAGCGTTTTTCAATAAACTTGCTGTATTGAGGGAGCATTTTTCATGTGAAGTAGGCTTGCTTCTAGTCCATTACTCAGAGGTTTGTAGGAAATCTCAGAACTGTGCAAACAGAAAAAAGACGATAAATGTAAGGGACTACGCAGAACTGTTTCCCGATTTTTAGCCTTTTAAGAGAGAGAGCTGTAGGCCGCATTATTTTCGTTTCTGTGTTGACGGGGAGAGTTTCAGTCGAGGGAACCGAAGTTCCGCGGCTGCCAGCCCGCGAGTGACGCCTGGAGGTTCCGTTCACTCCTTCCAGAGATTCTCACTGCTGTGATTATTGTTTTCTGGGATGTGACGCCGTGTAGGAATGTACCAACGTTTCGGAAGAACTTGCTGCCTTCATCTTCGCGGTAAAGAAGTTGGAGCTCCTACCTCGAAGGTAAGGACAGCAGGTTCCTCCAAAACGTTCGTACTTTTCAACCAGACTACACGGTACCACGTTTCAGAAGACTATATTCGTTTGAACACCATCACCGTTCCAATCCTTGGAGTTTAATTTCGCCCGTATTGTTTTCGCGCCTTTGTGCTTAGATAGGAGGAGGAAACTGTTGGTCTATTATTATTATTATTATTATTATTATTATTGTTTGGGTGTCGGTATTGCGACTGGCTGGACACAGGAGGGGTTGGAGTTCGAGTTCAGGTAGGGGAGATTTGTCTCCGCGTCATGCACACCGGCTCTGGGTACCGTTGGCTGTTTCCCCGGGGTTAAAGCGGCGGTTCGTGAAGCTTACCACTTCCAACTAGTGCCGAGGCCAAGTATATGTTCACTCCCCTATATGTCTTCATGGCGTGGTGCATTCTAATTATATTTGGCGAAGAGTACAAGTTAGCTTTCTTTATATACTAACTTTTCTCTGCGTTTACTTACAGACCAACTTCCTTACTAGGGTAAATTAAAGTTTCTGTGTTTCCTCCCAGTAGGATCTGATCTGCAGTTGATCTGTTACGTCAGAACCAACACTGATGATCCCAAATATTTTCGTCTATGTATGGACTTAACATTGAGAGAAGAATATTTGATGCAATTTTATATGAAGTTGATAGCAGTGATATCCCCTGATAATTACTGCAGTCAGTTTTATCACCTTTCTTGTGAACTGGTACAGTAATAGACTCCTTCCACTGATCAGGCAGTTTTTCCTCATGCCAAATAGAAGTAATTAGATTGTGGATCTTAGAACATAATATTTCACCTCCTGCTTGAATAAGTTCTGCCGGAATTTGATCACTACCTGGCGATTTATACCTTTTCAATTTTGCAATAGCAATTTTAGCTTCGAGAAGACTAGGCTCAGGTACTAAGGGCTCATCTGTATGCATTTCTATATGCCTAACATCGTTGACCCTACTTACTCGTATATACAATAGCTGAGGAAAGTAATTCTTCCTCCTATTCAAAATTATGTGGGAAACTGCTGGCCAGTCACCATTCTCATCCTTCACTAAGTTACTTCTAGGTTGACAGCATAGAGATACCGTCCTGTAAATTGACTGGCAGGTTTAACTCTGAACATACCCCTTAATACGAGAAAATAATTTAGGTTACCTGAGTTTTGGGACATTCTCTATATGCTGTTAAGAGAGTGTCGATAATTAATTACGAACCACCATTCGGCCGTTAGGGACAGCTGGAAACTATTTTTTTTCCTTGGCACTACAGCCCCAGTGGGCCTAGGCCTACTCCATGAACTTCTCCGTTCACTTCGGTTTTCTAGATCTTACACATTCGGTAGGACTCCTTGGGCGGGCGATCAGCTCGTCGCAAGGCCTCTACCTGTACAAAAACACAGAAAAATGCACACACACAAACTAAACATCCATGCCCTGAGTGGGATTCGAACCCACGATCTCGGTTTCCAAGTGAGCGAAGACAGTACATGCCTTAGACCGCTCGGCTACCGTGACCGGCCTGGAAACTATTACGTACAAGTTTAAGTGGTTTTCCGCCCAAAGTACGAACCGTGTATTTCTTTTGTTAGCTGCCTCAGAGATGCTAACATGATGCAGTAAGCATTGCGTGTCATCGTTACGATGACATCGTGGCTATAAGGTTTACATAAGAAATTCAGCAAACGTAAGAAAGCAAATTCCCTGTTGCCCCGAACATAAGGCGAGTTTTCTTTTCTTCAGATACTACTACTTATTTCTTTACTCATGGAGCTGAGCCCTTCTGGAGGAGCCGCCAATTCTGCAGCTACTCAAGAAAATCCCAGCATTTTATGGAACCCGAAGGTTAATTACCGTGTTCACAAGAGCCCTCCACTGGTCCCTATCCTAAGCCAGATCATTCCAATCAATACCATCCCACCCTATATCTCTCTAAGATTCATTTTAATATTGTCCACCCAACTACGCCTTTGTCTTCCCAGTGGTCTCTTTCCTTCTGGATTTCCCATCAATAACCTATACCCATTCCTCTTCTCCCCCATTCGTGCTACATGCCCTGCCCACCCCATCCTCCTTGACTTGATCATTCTAATTATACTTGGAGAAGAGTACAAGTTATGAAGCTCCTCATTGTGCAGTTTTCTCCAACTTCCTGTCACTTCATATCTCTTAGGTCTAAATATTCTCAACACCCTGTTCTCAAGCACCCTCAATCTGTGTTCCTCCCTTAATGTCAGAGACCAAGTTTCACAACCATACAGAACCACAGGCAAAATTATAATTTTGTATATTCTAATTTTTATGTTTTTGGACGGCAGACGAGAAGACAAAAGGTTCTGGACTGAATGGTAGCAAGCATTACCCGAGTTCAATCTCCTCTTAATTTCCTCCTGAATCAGGTTTCGATCTGTTATCGTTGTTCCCAAATATCTGAACTGTGCCACATTTTCAAAACATCTGTTTCCTATCTTTATGTCATGATTTTGC